GCGAAGCAACTGTTTGCGAAGCAACACAGCCGCCGTCACCAGGACAACCAACACTACTTCAGCAGTTCAGCAGCCCGAAATACCGATGAGAAAGGCGACGAGGATTTTCGATTCGATGGAGAACTTCATCAAAAGCCCAAAAAGCCAATGCCCACGTCTTCCTCGCGCACGCACGGGCAGCTGAATGTTTTAACAACACCAAAGGGAGTGCCTTCAACAAACACACTTTATGCACCCTGAGACACAAAACCCATCCGGGGGGCGGGGCGACAGATGGTACTCGAGCAGTACATATCCCCGTCGCACCGCCCCGTGTGCCATTCGTTCCACTCAACATGGGGTCACATCGTGTGCTATGTACGTACGGCACGAAAGAAGCTAAGGATAAGGATACCTGAGCAGGGCGGCACCGCTGGTCCCTCTGCAAAACATTTCACACACACAAAAAGCAAAGAAACAATCTGCCGCGTACTCGGTACGATGATCAGACAATTTTTCCACCTGTACCGCGAGCGCTGTTGACGTCCGCGTTTTCGGCTGCGCGCTTGTGTGCTGCGAGACTAAACTTGAGCGAACCTAAAACAGAACAATTCAACAAACTTAGCGGGGCCCCGTCTGTTGCCGGTCCCGATGACACATCCAAACTAAACGCACGCAAGTCAAGACCACCATAAAACAACCACAATGCTTCGTCCCCCGAGTCACGTACTCTTCTCTTCAGACACCGTCCAAAAAGCGCGACCGAACAGTCTAGTACCTCCCCCCCCCTCCCAAAGGTTTCTGTTGAGATCTAACAAACACGCATTCGCATCAAAACAGACGAATCTCATTCGTTTCCCCCCTCCACCCCAGTCTTGAGGACCTCAATCTAGGCATGGCGAAAAAACACGAGAACAGGGAGAGATGGGGAAGCCCGTAGCCGGTATCTCAACTTCCCCCCCCTTCCCTTCGAAGCCATCTCGATTCATCCACGTCGGGACACGAATCTTTGCGGCACCAGACCGGCCACATGATTTTTTTCTTTCCCTGACGTCGATATCCACCACACGCGTATGATGAGAGATCCCTCCCGTAAAAAAGCGCCCCCCCAGTCTTTTTCCAGAAACAAACAAAACAAGAAAAGACCACATCAAACACCGAGAAACAAACATAAAAAAAAAACTTCGGACCCTACAGATGCCGTCGTGCTCACGACAAACCCTTCACCCTTTCATGGGGTCTGTCTGTCTTTGTGTGCCGGCAAGATGATCAACCCCACCGTGGCCATCTTCCGGTCCAGTCTATCGACCCCCCCCCCCCCCTCCCTACGTATTTATTTTCATGTCGACTTGATCTTGTCTGCGGCTCCCCCCGAGCTGCGCTCCTCGTTGTCACGGCGCTCCTTGAGCTTGGACCATGCCCCGACGGCACGCTTCCGGTTGGTCACGAGCCCGATCTTTGCGAAACCGTCGATGAGCATCTTCGTGGGGTTGAACTGCGTGCTCACGCCGAACTCCGACGCGGCGTAGTCGAAGGGGTACTTGTGGTGCCTGGCATGTCATTGTAGGGACGACAGAAAGAAAAAAGGCGGTGAAATTAGTAACGGTTGGAAATCACGAGGGGAAGGGGGGAAACAGGACGCGTCTGCCGTCTGCCGCGGTGTCATCATACCTTCCGTTTCGCGGACAAATCGAAATCGCCCCGGATCGTTATCAGAACCACAACATACGCCGGAGCGTGGCATTGGGATTTTTTTCCCGCATCCCGTGGTCGTTCCGCCTACATGAGTGTGCTAAACGTGGAATAGCCACATCAAAGCACCACTAGGCCGCGAGAGGGCGCACAGAATGGATCCAGGATCTTTCCTCGCGGAAAATCGCACCAAGAACAGAGAGCCATTCTCGAGCAAGGTCGGCAGGGCGAACAAGAAACCACAAACACGGCGGCAAATGCATGCTACATCGGCCCAACAGCGATACTCAACCAGGTCGCAGTATCGGCCCAATAGCGATACCCAACAAAATTCCTGGCACGAACACGCCTACTTAATTATCGCGCAACGAAAACAATGCAACCACCTGCCCATGCATAAAGGAGAGCAACACTACCTGTGGTATTTAGTCTTGAAAGCACTCTTTCATGATCGAAAAAGTTCGTGCAAGAGAGGGATTTGCTGTGTTCCCCAAATAATAAAAAAAAAAAGCTCACCAGTTGTGCCACCCCTCTCCGATGGCGCAGATGGACACGAAGGGGTTCTCAGAGGGCCACGACTTGTGGTCGTACGGGTGGTCTCCGAACATGTGCGCGGCGGAGTTAACGAACCACGTGAAGTGGAGAACCATCACGTACCGCAGCGCCCCCGCGACCCAAAACCCGTGCCAGAAGTCCTCGCCCCACCCGCGGTTGGCCACCATGGCGGGTAGCACGAAGCACATGAAGAGGGCGAACCAGGGGTCCATGCTGTCCTGGAACATGACGATGGGGTCGGCCTCGAGGTCCGCGTAGCTGAGCGTGCGCCCGGCCTTGATCACCTCCGGGTGCTTCTTCACGTAGAGCCAGCCCATGTGCGCGAAGAAGAAGCCGCGCTTCGCGTTGTGTGGGTCCGCGTCCGTCTCCGAGTACTTGTGGTGGACGCGGTGGTCGCGCGACCAGTGGTAGATGGAGCCCTGGTTGGCCATCGAGTTGATGAGCATCATGAACACGCGCACCGACCAGTGCGCGTCGTAGGAGCGGTGCGCCCACAGGCGGTGGACGCCGCCGGTGATGCCGAGCCCGCTGTGATCGTCGTGGGAGGGGAGGGCCGGCGCGAGACGTGAGACGGGGAACGGAAGGATGCTTGTTTCAGGCATTGTAGCTTCATTTAGTTTTCTTCAAACCACAACACACCAGCAAAATCCATCTCTATAAGGAGGATTACTTTAGCCAAGGGTCTAGGATAAAAGATAGTGTGGTGAATTTCATAGCTTTCTCGCTAAATTTATGTCACACCTTTCCCATGCGGGACCATCGTCGGTTCACCACGTTCTTGAGGGTATCACAAATCACAGGGCTACGGGGGTGTTGACAGATCTGGTCGCGCCGCAAAATTGGCAGCAGCAAACGTCACACGACGTCATCCCTCATCCATGCACCAGAAGACTCGAAACATATGCTACTCTCCCGTACTAGTAGCCTGACTGCTGTCAAGACACTTCGGGTATCTTGACTGCGTGTGACCAAACATGTGCTGGGGGAATCTTTCGTTCATGTCTGTTTTTTGAAACCGCAAGACGAGCACATACTGGTCGAATATTTAGTCTTTATGCATACAACAGGACACCGCTGCCAACCAATGGTGCCTTCGGAACATCGGTTAGGCTCGTGTAACATCTAGACTGACTGTGGGATGTAGAACTGAGTCGGGCCCCGATCTGACGAAGCGTCATGATATTCAAACACGAGCACGAGCAAAAACTTGACGGGGTATGTATTTATGTATCCCGGCAGAAAAGTACTACTGCATTGTGTCTAATTCAGATAGCACAAAACTTGAAATTCGGTGTTGCCATCACCCCGACAAGTCTTACTGCCTGGCTGAAAGTAGATGCGCGTCAAGACGCGAGAAGTATGTGACAGGACAGCAGCGCGTGTGTGCGTGCACCGCACCATGGGGTAGGAAGGAGGCTGGCTGGCTCTGGGCTGCTTGCTGCTCAAAGATAAAGAGTTGAGTCAAACAGGCTTTTAGCGAAACAAGGCTTGGTTAGATATGCACGGAAGAGGTGTACAGATATGAGGGCACACGACAGGCTACCTGCGGAAAACATCTAGTGGGGAGGAGGCTACTGGGAAAATCCGTCGACGGATAAACTTGGCCGGTTGGCTTTGGTATGAGTCCATCTCGCGGCCCTTCGGTGCGTTGCATCGCGATCCACGCTCTACCCTCTATCTACCCTTGCCCAAGACTTCACACAACATTTTTTTGCCTACAACTTCTGGATTTTGAGCGGTCTGGGTTAGCGACCCGTGTAAATAATCGCATGATGACAAGATGACGCTCCTCTGACAGGACGAGCCCGTGGCAACCCTGGAAGGAAAAAAAGCGCTGCCCAATACAGCAGTATATATAGTAGGTGTACCCGACAGATGCACGGCACCCGCCATCACGCACGGCACGAACGAGTATGATGCTGGAATCGATATATGTCAACATTCTGGTTGGGTGTCCTTCTCGAGGCTAGTTCGCCAGGCCTCGTTGTGCCCTCTCTATTTCCCATATAAACGGTGGGCGCTCCAACCGACCGTTTTTTCGCCCCCAGCCGCAGCAGAATGAAAAATGAACGAACACAAATGTGATGTTTACACGTGGATAGGGCGATGCTGCGACCAACCACAAAATGGGGCAGGGTCGCAGCTCGTACGTGATGCAAGCGATACGCCAGCGGGCGGGGGGAGAGACAACGCCAGCCGGGGAAAGACGGGGGAGAGACAGGAGAGAGAGAGAGACAGGTAAGACTCACGTGATAGGCCACAGGACGAACGCAAGCAGGCAGGTCTGCCACTTGCAGTCCTGGATCGTGCAGAACCCTAATACTGCCGCCATGTGCACGAGGGTGATGTAGATGGCCATGGGCCAGTTGATGGACTTGTTCTTCCAGTGGTAAACCACCGTCTCCACGGTGTCCTTGATCAGCGTGAAGGGGTTCAGGGTCAGCGACCTCCCCTCCAGCAAAACGTCAGAAGCGTCCGACGCCATAGTGGTAGTTCTCGTTACCTCCGTCTCCGAAATGATTGAGCCTTGTTACGTCCCTGGTGTGGTTGCAAGCTTCTTTGAGTCAGCACCAAAAGCTTGTGTGGATGATTGCAGTGGCTGAAGCTTGTGGAGTGGTATGCTTGTGCGCTGGTGCCAGGGTACAAATATGTTCAGGGCCCTCTCTTCCTGCTGCCGTGGGGCACGTGATGATGATTACGCCTTCAAAAACCACGTCGCGCGTCATGAGGTTGATTCTCTTGGATATGATTGGCCAGAGCACGATCGTCGTTTTTTAATACGCGTGCTTTTCTTGCGCGTAAAAACAAAAATACACTCACCCAAAAGTTAAAAGTCATCTGCGGAGCCCCGCCAAACGGCCGTTTGACTGTTTCGTGCATCGTGGTGTGTTGGTGCTGTTGGACAGAGAGGCAGGACCGGGACAGAGAGTGGTTACATTGAGTCGCTTCTCGGCGGAACCTACTGTGAAGCCACAGAGCTCGGTTGACTCTCGTGATTTTGGAAACCATAAGACGCAAACGGGGACGAACGAGTACGAGAGAGAGAGAGAGAAAGGGATGGCGGCAACGGCGACGAGGACGCTTGAGGAGATGAGGGATATCGTCAACAACGACATGCCGCAGATATACGACAGGACGGCGGGCGTGGACGACGTCCGCGAGGTGTTAGAGCTGGAAGCTGCCATGGAGATGGAGTGTGAACGCCGCGAGATGGACGCAAGGGCCATGATCCGCGGTGCGAACTCATATGTGTAGCAGACGATATGCGAGCGCGTGAACGAGTGCTGCCGCACTTCGCGAGCGAGCGTTGCTTGTTGCTGGGTTACTCCGACCAACTTCCAACTGGCATGCAGGGTGTGCTGTCCGAGCTCGTAGGACAACTTCCTGTGCTTTTTCGCGTCGTTTTATTTTCCCCTGGAGATTTGCCTTGTGTCACGTGGTAATCAGCGGTTCAAGATGTTGACTAGCTCTCTGCCTCCGTGTACATAGCATGTGTATGTCTCATATCCACTTGTACTGCTGAGTGGCAATACTGCTGCCGCTGCACATACATACTCTGTACAGCAGTATTTAGTGCCGGTATGCGGCGGCATACAGACAAGGCACCAGCAGCCGGCCCAATTCCCAAGGCAGTCAACCCGTAAGGGAGCGTCATTTTGGACATAACTATAGCTACAAATCGGGGCTTGACACTTGCGTTTATTGTTTGAATTTTTGAAACGCGTGTGGCGGTGTGGTTCTGGGAGTGATAGTCTTCATCGACGTAATAAAGACCCTCTCTGATCTTCATCCGAACCTCCTCTTCCGTATCAAGACATGAATTTCCGTCACTACTAACTACAAGTTCATCTGAAACGAAGTACCAAATGTTCAAAGCGCTCGTTGAAATAAAACGGCGGGGGTGCAAACGAGATGGTGCTTCGGATCGACAGCCTCCGAGGGCCAACCCGCTTGAGCTGATGGCACAACAACTTGGCAATGGTAAACAAACATGTAGGTCCTCGTCGATCAAACTGCAGTTGCTACACACATGCAAAGATCTTGGTACACACAAGGTGCCCGGCTGGTTGTGTTGTATGCCCCGTGAAAGTCGTCTCTATTAGCTGCGCCCAGCGACTTCTGTTGATCTGATAGAGGCTACATATCTCGATGAAGATTTACACGCGAGTGTCACAATTCGAAGGACGTGCTCTGCCTCTTCGCGTTGCCTCGCAAGCATCGATTACCGCAAGACGCCGAGAGATGGCACCCCTCCTCAGACCGACTTTCGTAGCTCGATTGCTCCACAACCAAGATTGTCTGTACCGTACCGTATACCGTACCGTGGTATTCCGTAAGAGTCGGAGAGATGGCACCCCTCCTCAGACCGACTTTCATGGCTCGATTGCTCCACAACCAAGTGGGTGCGGAAATGTCTCGATATGTGTACGGTAAAATCTCGACGAGAAGATTCCAAAACCACCGTTTTTTTTGTGTTGGCAAAACTTGTCACAGACACCCACGGATGACAACCGCTACTTTGGCTACATGAGCGAGATCTCGTTCTTACGCTCTCGTGTTACGTCTTTGCGCTCGTGTTTGACGATCGCTCCAGACACGATTGACGTGCTAGAACAACGGCATCGGGCGATCGTTGAGCCATCGGAGCAGGCGTTTGTGGCCAGGATCAGGGTGGTCGAGCACGAGCGCGCTCAGGCGGCGTCTCACATCCAGGAGCAGGCGGAGGAGGCGGCGGCGCGGGAGAGAGACATCGAGCGAATGCAGGTACACTGCACGGAACAGCTCTGTTGCGGAAGTCGCGAAACTACATCGGGGATGAGCGGATGTGTGTACAACAGTAGGCCATGTTGTTTTTTTGTTGTTGTTGTTGTCTTGGGTGGTATTGTGATAAGAGTGAATCGTCCTCGACAGACATTGGGAGATTGTATGTACCTATGATATGTGGAGGTGATCTCCACAGTATCCACGTTTGTCGTGAACGTCGCCAGCAAACAGGGTGCACCTACAAGTAGCTCTTGTGTCGCACCTGCTGCTGCTATCATCCCGAAAGAACGGCCAAGCTCAGCCGATTAAGCTCATTCCCGTAAATCGTTAATGTTTTGTGGTGCGCGTACTGGATAGAAGCGCTCAGCAACCGTCATGATGTATTTGAACATGCGTAGCCCCCTCTCGCACGCAACTTCACTCCTTGACGCTCGGCTGGCCTGACTTTACCGAAGGGATACATATTACCCCCTATCGTGCAACGCCAGGTCAAGGGCTTTTAGCCCCGAAAATGGCAGAACACTGACTTGTTTTGCCGCCAAGTCTTACCGGCAACCTGTAGCCCAAGCAAACTGGTCGAGACTTTGAATTTTCCAGACACATGGGCGTTTGAACCGACACGTTCACGTCGTTGGAGCAGATTACCACATGCTAAGGTGTGGATGAAATCCCTACATTTCGATACCCACCAAGAGCCATCCGGTGTGCTGTACATGCGAAACGGTCCCCCGCTCGCGCGCGCCGGTGCAAACGCCTTTTTTTTTTCCATCCCCTCGACACGCCAAAACAACAATAACAATAATACTAAGGGCGAGGTGGAAGACACCCAGACGGAGATCGAGAACACCGTGGACGCCCACACCATGGAGATGCCCCGCGTGCAGAACGCCATCGGGCTCTATACCAACATCACTCGCATCAAGTGGAACTACGAGACGGAGGGGGAGATCATGGCCGGCTGGCTCGTGCCGCCGGAGGCCGGGGTGGGCATGAAGGGAGCCAACGGGACGGCGGTTGTCGAGGGGTTTCAGTTTGACGCGGCGGGAAAGGACGACTTTGAGGTCGCGAACAAGCTCTGGGATGTCATCGACGGCAAGGCGCGCGCCATGGTTGAGGCATAAAATGGTAGATTTTCTCCCGCCCGTACGGCTGCTGTGTTCGATCGTACGGGGAGGGGACGTTTTTATTTTCGTGGTCATGGTAGTGTGGGTAGTGTGGGTTGTTTGTTGGTTGGGCTACCGGATGCTGCGCACGAGTAGAATGTGTATAATAGTAGGAACGGAGTGCTGTGGTCCTGTGTGTGTGGCATGTAGGTCGCGTGATTCGTAGCGGGAGAGCGCGTTGTGTTGCGACATGGCTCTTGGTTCTATTTAGCGCTGTCTGGTAGAAGCGTGCTAGGTATCTCCGGGCGGGAAGAGCGGTGTTGACGTTCGAACGCCACCTTTTTGTGAAGGGCTAAGACGATGCCGTACACGAAGGTGAGGGGATGCTGTCTCGAGTAGTTTCGCATGGTCTATCGTTTTTTTTCAAGCCTTTTTCAGAAAGTTATGCATCAATATTTACGGAGTATGTAAGCTACAATGTATGTATGTATGTCTGAATTGATGCTGTATGTTAGAATCTCCATCCGAAGTAAGCCCTTTTTTGTTTGTATTTACTCTCCCGTAACTTATGTAGACGAAGAAATCAGGGACAAGTCTTTAAACAATACAAGCGACGAAACACACACGCGACGTATGTGCAGCCTGGTGCTTTTCCAGAAAAATATACAGAGACTGTCAGGCAGTTGGGTGTCCAGGTCTCTTACAAAGAAGATAAAGCCCGGCGCGGTTACCCTAGAATCTGGCGGAGGGAGGGGGGCAGACGGCTGTCTGTCCATATCTGTAGCAAACACATAGAGACCAACCTCCCTTTCTTTCTCGAGTCCAATCAGCAGAATCTAGGGCCTCTGGCAGAAAATCAAGACCTCGCACGTGCGTGCGCGTCTTGATGTAACATGTATGTACGTACGTGTATGTGTAGAGAGCAAAAAAGAAGGGCTGACCCACCGGCCACCTCGCAGGGGGACAGCGTTCGACACGGTACACAACAGTAAACAAAACTTGTCGAAGAAGGGAAAAGGTTGGTATGTTGTACATGGCAGCAGTGACAGCAGTCTATGGGCTACGTTTCACGACCGACCTGAGTCGACTCCATAGTCTGCCGGACGGAGTGTGTGTACGTTCTATTACAAGTAGTTTCAGTTGTGGTTCTTCAGTCAGCCGCAAGAGACTTTACTGGATGGCCTTCGTTGAGCCTGTTACGTCCGTACAACTTATTCTCTGACAAACGACATATATATATATACTCATTCTCGGCCCCGGATCCTGTCGAGGAAGGACGGCGGTCGAACCCCTTTCAAATGGAGTGAAAAATTGAGTCGTTTATGTACCCAACATTGATATATATATTCGCCACGACGCCCGTATGATGGACACAACGAAGAAAAGCACAAATGGCATATATACTGAACGCTCGGTGTACTGGCACCGGTTTGTTTTCGTGTATTCCTGTACACGTCAGCACTATTATTTCTGTTCGTTCTTTGAAAACAGAATCTATAATAATAACGATCAAGATCTTGCGACGAACCGCCGACCAAGGCGGCGAGCCTTGTCGTACAACGGGCGCTTAAAAGATTTTGCGGAGCCCCCGGTGCGAGAACGTCAGTTCGTCAGTTCCAGCACTCCGAGCAGCACACGCCGCGGGCACGCTTGGCCATGCCGGCCTTACTGTTCATGGGACGCCGGTGGGGCGTGGGTGCGGATGAGTTTGCCCTTCCTTCGCTGTGCAGCATGGCACTGCGTGTGATCTGGTCCATTGCGCTGGTGGTCGTTCTGGTAAGAGAGAATCAATCCATCACAGAGAGTTGCTCCACTATACTGCTGTAATACTGAGCATCTGAGTACTGTATCAGTATTCAACTAAGGTGTACAGCAGTCTAATGTCAAGTGTGAAGTGAACGCTTGCGTGCATGTGTATCTACATGAAGCGACCGAGAGCTGGCATCGCTTTTCCCGGCGATAGCAGGTGCGGCACTCGCGTGAAGGTCGGCAGTGATAGTCGTCACGCTTGGAACCCTGTGTGTCATTTCGTTGAAAAAGTCTTTCCACTTTCACTCGCAAGACAGCAGTGTACTACTGCTTGTACTTGTATGCATACATGTAGCAGCGCACGGCAGTCAGTCTTTGGAGTACACTTTGTCTAGTCTATTGCCTCACACATGCAGGTAAACACGTGATGGTACGCATTACTTTGCGCAGCGCTCGCTCTTTGTTTGATCAGTGGGGAAACCAACAGGGAATATTTGTTGGCCTTTCGTGTCGGTAGGGTTCAAGTTCTTCCATGTCGTGAAAATCGAACACCGAAAGTTCCTGTATTACAATATGCACCTGTCGTAGAGACCACTTCGTAGGTGAACCTGACCAACGATATGCGTTTGCATCTGATGGTTTGACTTCGACTGATGTATTTGACCGCTATTTTCCCCACCGGTGGGACATTTTTCATATGCATTCGAGTGACTTCGTGCTTGGCCCGCCCGGTGGTGGGTTAAATAACGATAAGCCCTTTCTTTTACTATTTGACCGCTGTTTACCACACCGGTGGGGTATTTAATACGAGTATTTTTCCCACTCGTCCCTAAATAAGGGTACATTAGCCGTAGCGAGGATGGTAAGCTTGGTTTTTGCAGAGGTTCGGGTTAGGGTTAAGGGTTTGGAAACGCCACTCTCTATTTCACATACAATATACTGAAGTAGCAAATAGCGCTCAACATCCTCGCGAAGGCGGTCCCAAGGGTACATGGGTTGGTGGGGGTTGGCCAATCAGCGCGGGACTTGGGAGATGAGGTCCTGACTCGTCAACTCGCCTGTGCTTTGCGTTCTTTGTCACCCGGACTCCCTTGATTCCCGCTTTCTGTCCTTTTGTTGCCCTTCCTTCATAGTAGTGTTTTTTGTCACAATCTTGGGACCACGCCGCACTCAACAGCAACAGACTCTTGTTTTACGCGGCAGACAGCCAATACAAGCGCGTTTTGTTTACTGTTTCGCTCTTTTCGGCACGGCCGGCTCAACCCGTCGAAAAAGGTGCCGTGTGCCGATCGATTGTCATGGTCTAGTCCTGTTTTTGCCCATCTTCGTGCGCTCATTGGGAGGGTCGGAGGGTCTCGATGGCGTCTTGGCTTCGTAAGAAAGTGGTCTGTCTGTCTGTCTGTCTGTCTGTCTGTCTCTGACGCGCGCTCTCTCTGTCTCTCCCTCTCCCTTTCCCTCTCCCTCTCCCTCTCCCTCTCCCTCTCTCTCTCTCTCTCCCACTCTCTCTCTCTGATGCTCTCTCTCTCTCTCGCTCGCTTCCCCTTCTCTCCCTCTCTCTCTCTTGTCTCGCAGTTCCAGGTGGGCGGAGACCTCAGGGGTTGCAACGACGGTTGGGTGGTGTACACCTACATGGTCTGCTCCCTGTCCACCTTCGCCCTCTCCGTCGTCGTCGAGTGGGGCATCACGCGTGTGTCCACCAGAGGTGAGAGGGGGGCACACATGCAGGACATGACAGAGAGACCCCGTACCGCCGTACCACTGGTGGCACGATGGACACTGCTGTTGATCACCCATATTTTGCCCCTAATACTGCTGCGCTCAGAGACTCTTCATGCACATGTGCATACGAAAACCATTTGTTCTTTTGAAGACCCCCGCCTGCTACTGCCCGCGTGCCCCCCCCCCCTGCCCCAGGGAGCATACCGGACACCCGTCTGAGGGATCACCTGAGCGGCTACCTGAACGTGCACATGATGCTGGGCGCTGTGCAGCTCGTGATGGCGGGGTTGGGCATCGGCCTGATGACGTACTTGGACTCCACCTGCGAGGGGGTGCTGGCGGACGGGGCTCTCAACGTGCTCATCCTCGTCGTGACGATCAGCCAGGTGTTGTCCAATCGCTCCCTGTTGTGTTGCTCGGTCTGTTGGAAAGTGTAAGATCATGCAAGGATGTTATCGCTCGCCGCCTGTTGGTATACGTTTACTCCCGCTGTTCCAAAATATAAGATCGATAAACAAGGATGTTCGGAACATAAGAACTGGTTTGAAGAACACTCCTGACCTCCTCGTTAGAATTGTACGTCTTCGCGAGATATTTCGCATTATGTCCTTGTGGACCTTTCTATTCGAACAGAGGGAGTAAGCAGTGTTGAGACCATGCTCCGACGCGTGCGCAATTTTTTGTGCGCTTGTGCCGCCTCTGATGCGTGCTGCTGATGAGTGCTGTTGCTGCTGTTGTTGCTGGCGCTGCAGCTGGCGCTGCTGCTGCTGCTGCTGCTGCTATATGCTGTTGCTTACGATGATGACGATGAGCGCTGATGCGGGCTGTTTGCTGTTGCCCCTGTCGTACCTAGATCGTGGACGTGCTGGTGACGTGCTGCTGCTGCGTGCTCATGAGCGGAGACCCCGAGGAGGCGTATGGAGGGGGGAGCGAAGGGCACTACGAGAGGTTCCCACCGACGGAGGTACAGTATGACGTCATAAACAGCAGCGGAGGTGCACATGAAGCATTTTCGGCTGATTGGCGCTCATACTGTCTCTATTTTTTAGAAATACACAAAATACTCAATCGCAGAGACTATACAAAAGGTAGTGCTAGTCGAAGGGGCAGTGTTGAAGTCTTAACAGTGAGTGGAAAAATAACCGGCTGGAATTTGGGACTACCTTGAGTCTGTTTGGGCCTAAACACTGATATATTGCTTGTTTCCATGGGTTGTTTACACGTCGAGCTGCTGCGGAAGGATGCAATTTCGCCGCAGATAGCGGTCGGTTGTTTTTGGTGGCGATAGAGATGACGCGCAGGAGAAGAGGGTGAGGTGGGCGTGGACGCGTCAACATCCTCACCCCTCTACAAGCGCTTCATGTCGTGACCAGGGCGAGCAACAACCCTACCCCTCCTCCTCCTCCTCCTACTGCTGCCGCTGCTGCTGCTGCTGCTGCGCTGTAAGATCGAGGGTCAGTGGGAAAGCCGGTGCCACTGGCTGCACCGAGTGCTGGTGGTGCTGACGTGCGGCTTGTTCGGAGGGAGGGGGATCAGGCAAACGGACTTCGAGCAGCTGTCGAAGATCATGGCCAGGATCTTCCACACCGAGGTATGGTACTATTATATCGCTCGTCTATGTATTATAGTAGCTTGGAGGGATGTTTTTCTGGGTGCACGCGATGGCGGTGTGGTTTCGGCGGGGGGGGGGGGCGTCTTTTCATGTATATCTGGATTGGCACAGCAAAAGGCAAAGATGGTGACACTACAATGTATCAGCTTCTACTTCATCCTTGTAAAACGTAGCCTGGGCCGGCGAAAAAACCGGCATATGTATCGCTCCGTCCCTGCATGCGATGTCAATGTTCTAACGACTAAATACGGCATGCGGTTATATGAATACCCCCACCCCCCCACCCCCGCGCGCGATTTTGAAGGAATACTTGGACGTCGTACCTTCGGACATCGCCGCGGGAATCGTGCTACTCTACCACAAGCAGCGCCAGCAGCGCCGAGCGCTAGCATCATCATACGCCGGAGCGAGGCAGCGGTCGTCTCCTGCTGCTTCTTCGACCCTCCGGTCCTCCTTGTTACCATCCGCCGGCCCCCTAGCGGTACCACCGCCGCCGACGAGCAGCGGGTTGGGTTGGGGTGGTGGAGATGATACTGAAGATCCTTCTCTTCGCTCATGCTGCTCATCCTCTGGACGAGGGGAGGAGGGGGGCTCCGGCGAACGGGCGTCGTTGACAACCGGGGGTGGGGGTGACGCGGTTGGTGTAGGAGGAGGGGGGGCGTTCAGACTGCCCATCGGGGTGCGGGAGAGG